TGTAATGTTTTACACGATTGTAAACAGGGACCAGAGGCGTGAGTTATTTTGAATTTATAAGTTAAGAGCCATATTCGATCCCTATTGAATCGCTATCAAATGCTTAAAAAAATTGTGTTACTATTATAGCGTTTATAATTTAAAACATATAATGTATAGATAAAGGTCAGAAAATGAATGAATCTTTCATGCTTAGAATAAATCGATAATATAGATTTTTACTGCCGGAGCCGGAAAGTACGCCAAGGTAGTTAAATTTCATTTTCTGCTCGAGTACTCGACCGTCAAGTTCCAGTTTGCATCTGAGAGGGGTTTTTGATCTGAGCAGTTTGTTTTGGTCGGTCATATTTCCATATTTAGGGACTTGGCTGTCAGGTTGAATAAGTGTAACAACCTTCGAAAGTCATCTTCATTTTGTGCAGTGAGAGTGGCATCGTCTGCATAACACACTATTTTGATTCCGGCGTCCCAAATTTTGTATACCTTTAGCGCTCCAACAGTTCGAACAATTTCCTCCATTATTAAATTGAAAAGGTAGGACTCTGGGAGTCTCCCAGATGAATATCGCCACCCGCTCGTATTGGTTCTGTGAGGTCTCCTTCTATTTGTGCTCGTATTTTATTGTTTGTATATATGTTATCCATGGTTTTAATGAGATTGTGTGGGATTTGCCTGATGTAAAGGAGATGCTGGGCGTCTTGCAGCTGGACACGGTCAAATGCTCTGGTTAGATCAACAAAACATATAAACGCTGGCTTGTTGCATTCAATCGATTTCTCCACTATTTGTCTTAATACGAACACGGTGTCTGGGCAAGGTCTTCCTGATCTGAATCCCCGTTGTTCGTCCGCCAACGATGTAAGCTAATTTATTTTGTTCGTAATTAATTAATTGTTATTTTTAGAGCAGCTCTTAAAAGGTTTATTGCTTTATAATTTCGAGGACAAGGGAATGGTATTCCCTTGTCCTCTTTTTTCAACATTAGCACTATAGTGCTTGTTCGCCATTCATCTGGGATTTTGGGTCCATATATAATTTTCTGCATTAAAGTTGTTAATTATTCTGTTAGTCTTTGCCCACCTTATTTCAGCAATTCGTTTTGTAGACCGTCTTGCCCGGCGCTTTTTCTATTTCTTAGTTCCTGTAGTGCGTTTTTCGTTTTTATGTGGCCACATTAGTAATGGATAAATTAGGCAATAACACTGGTAAATGAAATATTCAGTCTCAGAGCACACCTTTAACACCTATGCTCAAAAGATTCCTCTGCACACATTATAATATTGTGATGGACAACAATGAACGTCACTGTTGCTGCCCTTTTCGTTGCCAGTTTGATTCAAGAATATAAACAAATGTTCTTAATACAAAATTCTGAAACCAAATTGATCCAGTAATTTGCGATACGAAATGTGCATTTTCGAAGAAAAACTTCCATGCATCAGTACGTTTTTCAGTCCGTTTCTACTATTTGCCACTACACTATAGGGTGATTTAAAATTGGCGTCATTCCTTTTAAGGGGTGATAGAGGCTCCCTTGGGGAGTACGAGAAAATTCTTGAAAATTTAAAAAAACATTTTCGAAAATTTCTAGAAGATATTAACAGTTGAAAATCGAATTTCAACTTTGTTATTAAGCATTATTTTGAAATTGCTCCATGTTTAATTTGTAGCATATTGGAATACTTAGGCATTCAAAAAGAAAAATTACCATCTTTGCTTCAAATTACGAAAATTTTTGATATCAGAAAAATTATTTTCTACAATTTTTTGATGAAAAGGCACAGCAACAATGATGTTTTTTTGTCATTAACAGATAGTTACAGGTGGATAGCCCTTGTCAATAATAACAATAATTTGTCAAACTGTGACTTACTTTGAATTGCCTTTCACGAATTTGCGGCTATGCTATTAGTTCAGGGGAAATGCTACAGTAACATAGCAGAAGCTGAAAGAACTCACGCCAACAAAGGGCGAGGAGGGTGGTTCCAGGAAGATGGTGGACGACAATCGATGTTCGGGTTTCAGACACACAGGAACAATTATTGGACATAATTGAAATAGAACCTCCCAGCGGTACTCAGAACATTGCACAACCACGGACACTTTCCCAGGCACCAAATAAATACCGATTACATTCCTACCACGTGTGTACGATACACACAGCACAAGGAGATACAATGGAGCAGGAGTTAATTAACTGAATACGAGAAGCTGTTTGATAAGAGTGGATAATAAGGAGATTACACAGGTACTGGCATGTTTGGAGTTAACCATTCAAATGTTTGGTGTTGTATGGTTTATTAATAGACGCCAATATTCGAGGATTTGAGAACATATCCGTATTGACTAGTCAAGTAAATGATAATAAAAAGCATGTCCTTATCCGGAACTATTCAAATGTTTGAGATTTCGAAATGGGTTCCGTCATTCAACGGCTCCTGTTGAATTTACCGTTTATGCTTGTTTATATTATTGTCACTCTGTATAATTCCATGGTTACCGGAGTTTTACATAATTACCAAGCAACAGGTATTTGCGCAATGTTAAGTAGGCAGATTACCTTGAAAAACATTGCTGCCGTATTTCTGATATCATCATCATCATCATCATCATCAAGCGCCCAGTTGCGTCCACTGCTGGACATAGGTCTCCCGTAGCTTTTTCCATCCTGGCCGATCCTGTGCTGCCTCTATCCAGTTGGTCTTTATACTTTTGATGTCGTCGGTCCATCTGGTTGGTGGA